AGATGGTACACAGGATCGTCAAGGTGGAGGACAAGTAGAAGGAGCATCCACACGAATGCGCCGTTGACCACCGGTGCCTCTGTCATCCTCTGCATGCCGCTGTCCTCAGTTATCCTGTCGACTTTCTGTAATATTGTTGCAAATGTGCCGACGAATGGATAAGCTGGCAGTCGTGTACGTGAGGCGAGTGTTGATATTCTTCCCACACGCGGACAACAAGAAGCAGAGGCAGGACTAGATGTTAGCACAAAGAGGGATCGGGGACAGCCCACGGGAAAGAGGTAGAGGCCATGACACAAACTTGGATGCTTATCCCCGAGACAAAGAGGGAGAGAGTGTGTGCAAGACAGAAGCCGTCTGTCGATGGCCACCCTCTAGAACATACTGCTGATGACCCCCCCTGCTAAAACCTGTCCTGTTTACCGGGGGGTCGTCTATAAAGAATCCCTGGGGACCCCACATGGGCTGGGCGTTGGCTTTTTTCCTCCCCTCTGTCCCTAGCTGTTCCCAGCTGACCGCTCTTTGGAATATTTATTTTGACGTCACCAATTTCAGTTTGAATACAAATAGGGGTTTACAGGTATTATTAATAAAGATATAGCATATATACAAAATATGGGGGTGGTAGCAAATAGAAACTATATATTTTAATAGAAGGTAGGATATTTTAAGGCATCAGCTCTAACTAATTGGGAGATATGTGGCATTTACTAAAAGTGTCATTATTATACAGTTTTAAAATATACGATATATATATATATATTTCATAATCTAAAATGAGAATATTTTATTTTCTATAAAACATGTATTTTACTTTCATTCATTGACTGATCTACATTTTTCTACCATAGATTTAGAACATCACACTTTGAATATTTGTCGTAAATATGTATAGTTAAGCTACCTTTTTTAAAATCACGAATATAGAATTCATTTTTTAAATCCTATATTACTGTGAAAAATAAATGTATGTGTAATTTACTTCAAGTAATTCGAAATAAAAACTACTTGATGGGTAAATAATTATCTTTCCTATTTTTACGACTGCACCTTCTATTCTTTATCTTTTTCAACAACAAAACAAAATAATTCATAACATATATATATATATATATATATATATATATATATATATTGAAATAATAATTCCTTCACTAAACTTTAAGAACGAAATACTTGATGAGGAAAGAGTTTCTTTATTACACAAAATTAGTTCACAAGCTTTCGGGCACAATCACCCTTCTACTGGTGTAAAACGAGACAAAATTATTAGTGGCATTCAGCTATATACATATATACAAAAAGTAAGAAAATAAGACAGATATGTAAAATTGTGCCAGAGAAAATTAACATAATATTGGAGGATCATTAATAAAATTAAGCAAAGCAAGCAAATAAACGCACAACACATTCAATACTTGGCCAAGTATTGAATGTGTTGTGCGTTTATTTGCTTGCTTTGCTTAATTTTATTAATGATCCTCCAATATTATGTTAATTTTCTCTGGCACAATTTTACATATCTGTCTTATTTTCTTACTTTTTGTATATATGTATATAGCTGAATGCCACTAATAATTTTGTCTCGTTTTACACCAGTAGAAGGGTGATTGTGCCCGAAAGCTTGTGAACTAATTTTGTGTAATAAAGAAACTCTTTCCTCATCAAGTATTTCGTTCTTAAAATATATATATATATATATATATGGAAATTTGCTGGGAGGAAATTAATCCATGGAAGCAATGGTCGCCTCTCCCGTCAAAATAAACGTCAGAATCTGACGCCATCTATTGACCGTCGCCGCAACTAGCGGCATCGGGTCGGTGACAAAGCCACAACACCAACTTTGGCAAACTGATAAGCGTCCACCTAGAGACCATGGTTTCGGGCTAATGGCCCTCGTGAGTCTAGGGCGGACTTTATTCCATGAGATCCACACGGGATCTAATGGAATCCTCACAATCTACCAAAGAGGTGTTTTGCTGGCAATGTGGCTGGGCCAAATCTATTGGCAAAACATAGATGGAAAATTTGCCGGGAGGTAATTAATTCCAAGGAAGCAATGGTCGCCTCTCCCGTCGAAATAGCGACCATTGCTTCCATATATATATACTAGCGGATGTGTACCCGGCTTCGCCCGGGTTTTATCCGAGTGAAAGTTTGCCTAACGAATATTATTGATAATATTATATTATTATATATATTAATTATATATAATAATATTATAATATTATTGATAATAATATTCGGGAACACACAGAATATTATGATAATAATATTCGGGAACACACATAATATTATGATAATAATGATAATATAATTCGTTATGTCATATATTTATATAATACTAGCGGACGTACCCGGCTTCGCCCGGGTTTTACCTAACGAATATCTAACGGGTTTTGTCTAATGAATCTCTCGATAAAGTGAACATTTTTTCCCGGTCTCTTTAAAAATACTCGATAAGTTGAATAAAATCAATATTAATTGGTTCCCTCGGTAATTAAAAGTTAAAGGAATAGTATCTTGCCTTGGAATTGTATCATTATTCTTGTCTCAAATAAATTGCCGTGTCATCCTGAATTTTGTCTTTCCTAATTTTCTACATTACAAAATCATCGTATCATCATGATAATATTTAGAGCAGATTGTTGAATTATAACAGATAAATTAGAATATTTATCTTGATTATTTTAAAGAGAAAAGTTATTTCAAAAATTTTATTCGCTAGAAACCTTCCCAGTACTATACTAAATAACTTCCCAAAGTTTCATGGCGTTCCAATGAGTGGTTTGGTCAGGCATAAAGGACAAACAGACACATATACATTCATTTATATATATATAGATATGAAATTTATTTTCGAGCAAACATATCCACTCTCTACTGAATAGATTTTTAAAAATGATATACATGAATAAAATATCTAGAAATATACTGCATGATCTTAGCCAAAAGGCCGAGAAACGATATTTTATATATAGAGATGACCTGGCTTCGTGTGTCTTCTGCTCGAGTGAATGTTTCGCTGGTAGAATTTTGTTCCTGCCTACTATTAATCATTATCTGGCTTCGCCCGTGGTGTACTTTAGTGAATATTCCCCAAAATAATTTTTTAATGCAATCAAGCATGATACGGCAATATTGTCATCATCATTTCTGACTAAAAAAATATTGTTGCTCAGTACTTGGTTTAATATAATTTTTCTTGGTTAAAGTGCGACAAAAAACTCTTCCAGATTTAACTCTCTGTCCTGTTCAAATTTCAGCGAGATTAGTTACATATTGAGGGCGTGCATAGCCGACAAACATATATATATATATGTTTCCGGCTTCGCCCGATTTTTACCCGAGTAAAAGTTTGCTTAACAAACATTTGTTAAAACGATTCTAGCAAACATCCAATCCCTACTGAATCTATACTTGTCTACACTCTCGATAATTTTTCCCGGTCCCTTGAAAAATACTCGATAAGTTGAAAAAAATCAGTATTAATTGGTCCACTCGGTAATTTGAAGTTGAAGGAATAGTATCTTGCCACAAAGGAAGATTTGTAAATAACTGTATTTAGCGAATGTACCCGGCTTCGCACAGTTTTTATCCGAGTAAAAGTTTGCCTAACGAATATTTGTTAAAACGATTCTAGAAAATATCCAATCCACCTATATATTGATTTATAAACGTATATAAATATAAATATTGTTATATGCGTTTAAATATATTTTTGAAACACATAATTTTTTTAAAACATTTATTATACGTATTTTAAATAAGATATTGTCACTTTTGTGAATTTGATATTTAATTGTTTCTTTTTTCTCAATGGATTATATATATTAATTTAAAATTTCATTTTTGTTATCATCATCACATACAATGTAATTTTTTTATATAAACAAATGATAATAATCAACAACAATTAGGGGCTCAAAAATCATTTATTATGGTTAGCAGCTCCCTAAATAAAGATATTTTCACAACAACAATTAAAGTTGCATCATCATTTTTATAAAACAACAGCAAATTAAATTAACAATGTAAAAATATATTTTAACATTACATTTTAACATTTAACACAAAATCGTTACAATCTTTTCTTTAAATATATATTAATATTGAAATGCCAAGTATTTTTTACGTCATTGGAATATTATATTACTAAATTCTCAAATTAAATTTATTATACTTGGAAAACATTTTAAGCATTGTAACAATTTATAAATATAATTTCACCAGACGCCGCTAGAGGCGCTGCTTGCTTGCCAACCTTTATCAAGGTATTATAACATTTTAATACCTTGATAAAAGTGGACGTTCAACCAACTGAAATATTGGTAAAATAAATTATATTTTGATTCAATATATGCCTTTTTAATTAAATATTTATTTATGGATTGCTCTATTTTCAAAACAATATTATATAGGAACACTCTTGTGTTTGATACAAATATATTTAAGCCATTATATTTAAATTGACTTCGAATCTTTACCAGTTCACCACTGATGGACCTAGCCCTCTTAATCAATAACTTTTATCATTGCATTAAGGTCTGTAGAGTTAAAAAGAAACACATTTCTAAATATTATTCCTTGCAGATTTTATCGATAAATTGCAATTAAATTTATATAGATTGTAACGTAGAAAATTAGTGATGACAAATTTCAGAATAATGCAGCAATTTTTTAAATGTAAAACCAAATTAAAACAATAAAATATCAGAGAGACAACGAAAGAATTTTACAATGTAAAGTTATCAAATAGCAATAATCCCGCCTCGGAAATTTCTCACTGGCTACAATATCGCCTCTGAGCAAAGTACAGTGCTTCAAATTACAAATATTGATATTAAAGATATTTTAGAACGACGTTAAAAAATTATCCCCCTTTTGAAATAAATATCTAGATTTATTTTAAGGAGAAATAACGATTATTTCTAACCTTAGGGATGATGTATGAAAGGATGAATTGTGAAAAGTAATGATAAACGGAAAAATAAAAGTGTCCGAGGATGGGAATCGAACCCACAGTGTTCCGCTTACCGAGCAGATACCAATGTCCACTAGGCTACCTTTGGACATATTTTTCCGTCCGTAAATATCATATAAAATAATTTATAATACAATATAATGCGGCCTATGATGTAGAACGACATTTGAAGATTATCCCGCATGTGTTTCTTTTGAAAGAAAAATTAAAGAAAAATATATTTTCATAGGCTAATAAATAATCTGCTATAATATGGTAAATGCCTAAAACGTCAAAAGACTAATCAAAGAATACACAAATCATTAATTTATACCTATTAAAATGTAGATAGATTTGCTCTGACAAATTTAGTTGGGCTTCTAAGAATGTGGCTGACTTAATTCTATCAGGAAGCATTAAGATGATTGATTGACGCTCTGTCATGTCGATCTGTATCGATTTTAATATTAAGAGAATCACACGAGAAAATCTTTAATTTTGTACACCTTGACTTTTGACCCAAACATGCTATTGAAGAAATCACTCTTCAAAAAAAATGATTGCGATACGGAGAGAGGTAAATAACAAAATATATTTTCTATAAATATTTTCTTGAGTTTATTGAATATCAATAATAAACAGACGTTCGGAATATCTGTTTCAATTGAATAATAAATCGATAAGTTTCGTCTGCTTTAAATTTGTTTAAAAGAAATAGCACAAATGTGACATTGTACTTGTATAAAGTTTCCTGAATTAAGAAAAAGGCATCTTATTATCGTGTAATTGAAAGTTTTAGATTAATCAAGAATGGGTATTTGGCTATAATTCTGAAATAATAAAAAAAACAACGAGAATAGTTCATATCTATTACGATAGAGGGCGCAGGTGAACAGAAACTTTCAGTTTCAACGATAAGAAGATGTCTTTTTATTAATTTAATTTTTGTAATTATTAAATTTGATTCTAATTTATATATGTAAAGATTATTTTATCATTATATTTAATATATAATCTATTTCAACAAATTTATAATATTATAAAATAAATTAAGCTTCCAGAGTTAAGTTTCTTGTTCACCTTTTTATATTCGAGCTTTCGGACTTGTCAGTCCTTCAACAAGAGTATCACGTTAACAACTTAATAATAAATACAATTTTATATAAACATTATTATTTACATATTTCAAATGCTTATTATAGAATGAGAGAAAAATATATTACATTATTCATAATGTACACATATATAGATATATATAGAATCATACATTTTAAATAAAGGTTTAGCAAACTTTTAAGAATACTTTTTGTACTTTAATGACAACTTTTTGTTCTTTAAAATAAAAAAACAACATGTTAAACTTTAATATTAAAAAAAATATTTCATCTTAAAAACAGACCCTTTTATACTTTAACAAAAAATTTTTAATTGGTATTTTAAAATTGCTAAATTATGATAAGCAAAATATATCAGACGAAAACTATCTCATTCTACTTTTATCAGACGTTTAAAACAAGATTTAAACCAAAATATACCATTAAAGTAGATGCCTAATATATTTATCGATAAATGACACAGATTAAAATAGAAATTAATTTCATTCCAATTTTAAAGTCCGTTAATTTATTTTAAATTAAGTGTCTCTAAAAACAATGTGTGTAATTTCCTTTAGAATGGATATATTTTAATTTTGAAATGCCAGAGTAGATTTGTCAGAGTAGTTTTTCTATCTTCGTCTTCACTTCTCTCAAATTCCAATATTTAATTAAAGAATAATTAGTATTAACTCAAAAAGTCCATTAGTTAACATTTTAATTTAAAGAAAATTAAGTAAAAATTGAGGAATTTTGCAATAAAATTTCGAGAAAATATCCCATTTATATAAAAAAAAAAGTTAGAATTATTTCACTCACTTTTTTTCAAATTATTCAATATATTTATTTAAAATACCTTTGTATGTAAATCGTGAATAATTTTTCAAATTTAAAATATTTATATTTGACCATAATTATCATTTTGAGAAAGAATTTAAATTATAATCGCTACGTTTAGACATTCTAATTATAATAATGCCAAAAGATAATAATTACATTCGATATTTATTTTTATTATTTATTTAAAAAAGAATACCAAAAAATATTTAAACTATATTTGAGAGACGCGTATGTTTCTTATTTATAAAATAAATAATGAAAAGAAATATCGAATGCAATTATTATCTTTTGGCTTTATTAACATTAGAATGTCTTAACGTCGCGATTATATTAATAATTATAATTATTACATAAAGTCCGATAGTAAATAATGTAAATATTTCAACTATGTTTATAGTTAATCTTTCAATGTGGTAGATATGCATATACGTTGTATAGTACCAAATGAATGTTCCACTACTTTATACAATAAATTTCTTCATCCACATTTTTAAAGTGAAACTCGCATTGGTATATAGTTCCTTAAATTTTGTAACATATAAATTTACTGTAAAAGTGTTTCTTTTAAATAATATCACAAATATACAGACCTTACTGCAATGATATAAGTTATTAATTAAGAGGGCTTGGCTCATCAGTAGTGAACCCTCTCATTCAATAACCTTTATCGCAGTAAGGTTTATATATTTGATGATATTATTTGTTGAGATATATATTAATTTGGTGAAACCGCTGAGAGGGTTCATCAAACTCTATAATGTGTCAGAGTTTCATGCAAATATGTAAAATATTATGGAATCCAATGTAGAACACACATATGAACTTTCCTAATCTATTAATATAGATATATATATATATATAATATATACCATTATATTATTTTTAATATAAAGTGGCTTTTACACATAAAACAAATTTCTAATTTCCTTAATGCGATGAAAATATTTTGGGAGGGTTTGACTGCTCAGCGGTGAATCTTGCCAATTTTTTTCATCGTAGTAAGGACAGTATAAGTTTGTTTCATGTTTAAAAGAAACGTTCCTACTCAAATTCTTTCATTTCTTTTATAATATTCCTATATGTATTGATATATATAATATATATATTTATATTACATAGCATATTGAATGTGAAATCCATTCTTAGGTGATACTATGTATCAAGTTATAATTGTTTCTTTTTTTAATTATTTGATAGAAAAATAATCGATTTTTGTGGTAAATTGCGTGTTTTTACCAGATCCATGCATAATTAGCAATTAATATGCAAGACTATTTTGGGATCTCTAATAAAACATCGAAAATAAGCATTAATTAGTTTTTTTTTCTCAAGATATTGATAAATTTTAATATGAGAGGTAAAAAATTGTTCCTCTTCATTTTTTAGACGAAAATAAGGTATTTTCTTTGAAATTATATTTTAAATATAAATGTAAAGAAAAGGTTTTATGATCTTTCGTATATTTTATTATTAGCAATTATATAATATATCAAGAAAATGTTTCTGCCTATTTTTTGCTATTACTTGGTTCTGTATAAAAAAACATCGAAAAATCCCTTATCTTGTGATGTTTGAGTAATTATACCTCTCTGGATTATCCTTAAGTTAGATTTTTGAAGTCATGGTTACGAATTATGAGATATATATGATAATCTTTCAAGGAGAAAGAATGGTACCAAAATATCTCTCTCTTAGGCTATATAACATTTAAACATTCGAGCTATAAAAGGTACTCTTTCAAAAGCTATCTTTACATATACACTCAAACAAAAGTCTTTATTAGGGACTTGCCTCATACAGATTCTCCCAATTTGGTAAGGTAATAATCATCTTGTGTAATTCACGTAGAAATTGAACTGGCTTTACTCTTAGTCTCAAAGTCATTCACTTGTTGACTGGTCCTTACATAATGATGATCTAAAAAATGTATAGTAAGCTATTGCCTTAGATTTGTTTGCTGATATTTTTGAAAGCAATACGTAGGGTGAAGTGTTGGTACATTTAATTTGTTGATATAAGGCCTTCTTCTCTGCATCAAGAACTGTACAATTAAGCAGGTGATAGGTGAGTTCTTCAGTAATTTCCTTGTCACACAGTGTAAATATTAAGTTTTTGGCTTCAAAGGTAAGAACGTGTTTTTTTTTAACTGTAAATAGTATTATCGATTGAGCTATACATCGTTTGAATGTTAAAGGAAAATCATCGGATAGGTAGCATTCTGTTTCTATTGAGGTATGAAAAATTTTATAACTATCATTACAAATACGTCTCTAATGAAATTTATAATACAAACAATAATGAGAATCCTTATATCTTAATACAAGTATATACATACAGAATTGTCCAATACAGAATTAGAGCTCTAATAAGTAGCCTGATAGATTAAATTGGCTAAAGCTAGTGGAGGGTTCACCACTGATTAGCCAAGCCCTCTTAAAATATTTTAATAACAGTGTGGACAATAGAAGTTTATTTTATGTTTAAAAAAAGGAAAGGTTTAAAACAGATGTGCAAATAAATCCCTTTTCAAACAAAGGCTCACGTGCACATGGAGAAAGGGAGAAAAAAATTACTGTATTATTTTGTTGTTGTATGGCGAATCCATACAGGGCAATGGGCCCTAATGAAAGCATTTTTGTTGTTGTTGTTTTCTAAAATAATCATTCGTGGTTTAATACTTCGATTTCTCTTTATTGCCTGATTGCCGCATCTCCTCATCCACTTAGGGCTTAATATCCTTCGCTCACAGAAGCAGATATTGCTTGTCGAATGCATGACTGTACCAGACTGGTTTGTTTTCTCATCTTACTAGCCATGTAGAACTAAGGGTAAACTATTATTTTTCAATACTAAGTTTAGATGGTCATTGAATATCAGTCGAAGATATTTATATTTTTAAAATGGGAAATCCTTTATAAAATGACATGTTCATCTATATCCGATAAATTATTGAAATTAATTATATATAATTCCAATATCCTTAAATATTATGCCCATATTTTTATAGAAACCCATTGCTATCGTTCCGTTATCCATTATCGCATATATAAGCAGAATTGTAATATACAATATTAGAGCTCTATAAAGCGGTAAATGGATTTTATTGTCGAAACCGCTAAAGATGTTCACTCTTGATAAGCCTGACCTTCCACTTTTTTTCATCACAGAAAGGAAAGT